TGCGCCCCGCCCCCGGCCCCGGCCCCGCCCCCGAGACCGGCGCTCTCCGAGGTGCTGAAAACACAGCCCCCGTGGTCCTGGGCTTGCCCCAGCCCCGCCCTGTATCTGACAGTGACTCTCCGCCGCCCCGCAAAGCCCCCAGTTGTCGGTGCCCAGTTTGCTCCTCGGGGTGGGCCTAGCGCCGGGTATCAGGTAACTAATGGTGGGATCCTGGACCCCAAGGCCCTGGTTGGCCCCCTCAGCAGAAACAAAGAAGGTGGGCAGGAAACGAGGGTTGTGGAAGAAGGCAGAGAAAGGAGGGTGTCAGGACTGGACTCCTAGAGCACATAGAGGTGGAGTCGGGTGGTGTGAATTCACAACCTGGCTGCACAAGTGAATATGCAGTGGGGCCTTCCGTTAGTGACTTCACAGTCCTTAGGCTTGGTTTTCTCATCTGTGAAATGGGGATAACAAGAGTCCCTCTCATGGTAGTTGAGGCTGAAATGTAATACAAATGTGTTGCCACCGGGAATCGGCAACACCCCACTGGGATCCAGGCCTCACCCCATTTCTGTCCCCTTACCTTGAGGGAATCCTCCCAAGGACTCTACCTACAGGGTGTCCTCTAAAGATTGACCCAAGCCCCCTTCTGCCCCAAACAGCTACTCATGGTGAACTGAGCCCTCTTCTTGGCTTCTCAGTCTCTCAGCACCACCTCTCTCATGTCAGGACTTGCTCAGCCTTCTCTCTTCTCACCTAGCTCCTCAACTGCATTTCCTGCAGAGCACCCCTCTTTTGCACCCACAGACACCCCGGAGCTGCCTTTTCACATTCTAAGACTTGGGGCCTTTCCTCTGGCCCCCACTGCTGACCTCTTGGGATTCTTCCTGTTGTTTCTCTTTCTTCCAGCACCTCCACCTCTGCTAGGTTTGGGCTGTGGTTTCCTCTTGCTCTTCTCTTCCCTCAGGATTAACCCTGGGCCTCTGGGCCTTCAGGACCCGGTGTCCCCCAGTTCTTTCACAGAGCATGGACTGCCAAGGCCAGGGCTCCAGCTTTGGTGGGCCATGTGCCAAACCTCACTGACTTCTTTGGCCACCTGAGAGAACCTCAGAGACCCTGTCATCCACAGGGCAGGGCAGAAGAAGGGGCAGAACAAACTGTTTTTCAACCTGTGGGGTCCTATTTGCAAATCTGGACTGCCAGCTGGTCATGCTGTCCCCTCTTCGCTAAATGTTAATACCCAGCAAGGAGCTCTAGGCACTCACCCTGCAGTAAGCAACCCCCCATCCCCATCCATAAGAACATCCCAGTACCCAGAGCCAAAGGCTTTGGCTGCCTTCCTTCTCCCTGTCCCTGGGGCCCAGAGGGGTGCCAACTTTACCTTTCCCGCTATTTTGGCTCAGGCCCCTTTCACTAGGCTCCCACAGTAACCATCTGCTGCTATGGTGCCTGGCTTTTCCTCCCAGGGAAGCAGTCTTGCCATCATGGCTAATGATTATTCCTCAAAATATGTACTTGTCTCTGTTAAGGAGCATCCTCAGAATATCAGGAGTGTATGTATTGGACAACACCTTCTTCCAGAACCTTTTGCTCAAGAACAAAGGTACCTTAGATCCGGGACCAATCCAAAGCCACATTAAAGAGAAGCCAGGAGAAGGGAGAATGGGAAGGGCAGGCCCAGTGGGAAGGCGGCCACCAGGAATTTCAAAGCCGACCCAAGAATGAGACAAGTCCCCAAGTCAAGTTCTCCCCCTTTCGCCTTCTCTCTCTGTGCAGCAGACTGTGATATTTTTGTGCCTTGCCTGAGTCCCTTCCCACAAGAGGTTGGGGCATGGGCTAACAAAGCTCCCAGTCCAAGGCTGGGGCCCCCCAACTGGAAAGCCTGCTGCACAGAGAGGGGCCATTCTCTGGTCAGAGAACATCAGACAAAGCCAGCATGTGGGCCCCGGGCTGGGCAGTGGGGGATCTTGACCACCTAGTCAGAGCTAAAGGGCCTGCATCCTCTCCATGCCACATGGCTGCAGCTTAAATGGCTGCACCAAGGTAAAGGATGAACTGAGGGCCTGGAGAGGGCCCTGCTACTGACTGACCCCAGCCTGAGGGGTTTAAGTGGCCTGCGATGCTGGGTCACTGCAAGATAGCACTCAGGAGCCTCACTCTGGGCCCAAAGTGCTCTGCATCGTTCTGGCCAATTGACCCCCAACTCTGACCAAGCTCTGGAGCTGTCCCTGGTCTACTCTGTTTGCTCACATAGGAGCCTACACCCTTTAAGGAGAAAGAACAGGCTCTTTGTTCCAGCAGAACCCAGATGGTCTGGCCTAAGGTTCATTCAGGCTCAGCCTTACCAATCCCAGTCCCCAGATCTCCCCCAAGATTGACAACAGTACAACTTTACTCAGACAAGATCAGATGTTTATAAAACAAGTGAATACTCAGAAACAAACTGTGGGAGAAACACACCTTCCCAGCAATAGAAAATCTCTATAAAGTGCATTTTGCCTGTGACCATCTCTTCCCCATGCTGGCCCTTGGATCAGGATTTGTGGCATTGCTCTGTGGCAGTTTCCAAAACCACCTGGGCTGGAGAAAGGAGGCATGAAGCCATCAAGGAGCCCCAGGCCACTAGACACTCCTCTTCACCCTGCCCCTTCTCGCTCCGGGAGTGGACTGCTCCACTCCACTGGAAGGTTGTCTTGGGAATGGGCCAGCATGCCAGGGATGGTGGAGAAGTAGAGGGAGGTGGTCCTGCCAACTTGTACCTTCGGGAAGAGAGCCATCTTCAAATAGGCAGGAAAAGGAGTCAGCCCAGTATCTGAAGGTGCTACTAATAAATACTGAATCTGGCTCTTAGCCTTTGGCCTTCTCAGTTTCTCAGACTCGCCCTTCCAGGTTCCCTCTTCTCTCCCTCTGGCAGTAGCCCCTGATTCTCATGCTCTAAATACACACCATCAACTGTGCTCTGCTCACCCCACATTATTACAGGACATTTCTAGTGAGGGTGACATACATACAATGGTTGGCCTCTAAAGGCAGCTCTCTGGCTGAGAAAACCTGAGGGCATCTCAGGAAGAAGCCTGTCAATATGGTGAACAGCTATAGGAGACAGGAACCTGACCCCTGGGTTCTGGTCTGAGGACAGAGGACAGTGTAGGACAGGGCTGGGACCAAGGGAGTTAACAGCTCTGAGGCTAGGAAAGTTCACAGGGGAGGTAGAAAGGAAAAGGCCCAGAGGCCAGCTTAATGTTACATGTGAGGACAAAAATCCACACAGAAATTAGCCTCTCAGCTACATGCACACAGGCGCGCGCGCACGCGCGCGCGCACACACACACACACACACACACACACATGCACGCACACACATGCACACACACACTCTCTTTGTGGCTCAAGTGCAGACCACAGGGTGGAAGACTTGCTCCAGTTGAACACAGTCTTTTTTTTCATTATGTCTCTCACAACACAAGTCTTTGACAGTGGGAGGGGTGGTGGGAGGCACAGGCCACTCCTGGAATGCAAGGGTTGGCTTCTCTGGGTCAAAACTCCCACCTGCTGCTTCTGGAAGGGATGGTGTGCTGGTGTGATCTCTACCTGGACTTTAGCCAAATGCCCCTGGCAGTCCCCACCCCTGAGTCCCTCTGCCTGAGTCCTTGGAGCCCAGCTACAGGGGTAGCTGACAAAGCAGCTTGGATGCTAACCAAGCTGGGGCAGGCCAGCCTGGAAACCTACAAAAAAAAAGACTAGAATGGCTTCCCTGCTGGGTGTTGGTCATCCTCACTGGCAGCACTGTGGTGCTTTGGAGCATGGCCAGAGGAGCCAGGGGGCCTTAAGCCACCTGGGGACCTGGTCACCTCCTGGTATAGGGCCCCAGTCTGACCCTGGCCCCTCTGCAGCTCCTGGGTAAGCTCTGAGGCTGGCTCTTAGCCTCTGGGGAAATAACAGTGAGAGAGCTGGGATTCTATTCCTAACCTTAGGTTCCAAGCCCTGAAAAGGCAGATGTGGTTGTCTGAGGCTACTCTCAACAGAACTGGGTGCACAGCACTCCAGTCAGGTATCTAGGTACTTCTGTACGATGGTGAAAACTTTTCAGATCTGTCTACAGTTTTGTGCCCAGTCCCAGATGCCCAAGGAAGGGTCTGGTGGACACAGTGGCAGGGAATTTGAAAATAAGAAAGAAGCAAGGCCAGGTGGCTAAGCCTGCCCAGCCTCTAGCGTCAGAAAGAGGGAAGTCAGTAGGACTTTGGCTGCCTCTAGAATCCCATGCTTCAAAAAAAAAAAAAAGGTAAAAATGTCGCCCTTCTGCTCTTTAGTCTGATGTGAGAAAGGAGATAGGTGTAGGGAGGCAGATGCCGGAATCCCAGCTAGGGTCCCACCACTACGTTCTCTTCAGACAAGACAGCTGGCTCACAGGGACATGTGCTGGCTGAAAGTCACTGCCATGACCTCTAGCCTTCTGTCTGAGGCTGGGAAACAGCACTTGTGGCGAAGCATGCTATAGGCAGTTCTCCAGTCCAGGCAACCTCCAGGGTCACGAGAGTATAAACAGATGCATGAACACGCAAACAGGCACACCACTCCTTCCTCTGCACACGCGCACACACGTGCACACACACGCACACACGTTGCTCAATCTCTGTCGGTGACCAGCTTCTCCGCAGGCTGTGCTCTGCTGCCGTGGCGGCTGCTCAGGCACTCAGACTTTGCTCACGGAGCAACGACTCTGCAGCTGGAAGAGAAAACAAGTGCGAAAGGAGCTTTCAGGAGGCTGCTCAGGTGCCCAGGGACACAAGCTCCTCTGGCTGCTTCTCTGGGGACACTCAGACTAGAACCAGGAAGAGCCAAAAGAGTGAGCTGCATGTGTCACAGTACCTGGGGACAGGTTGTTGCTGGGATGCCCCTGTGGTGATGGAATACTGCCCCTCTGAAGTGTTGATGCAGGACAAGTTCTCCCCTTCAGACCCTCCACTCAGGGTAGAGGGCAGCAGAGGAAGAGGAGGACAAGGCTATGCAAGACTCACTTGAAGCCTTGGGTGACACTTCCTCAGATATGACAAGGGCAGTTTCTGAATCAAGGCACAGCAGCTGCTGTCGGAGATGAAGAATCAGGAAAAAAAAAAATGGCTGAAGAGAAGCCCGCTAGGACCAGTAGTTTTGAAGAGTAAGGCAAAGTGACTGGGTTTAGAATTGGCAGGTGAGCACATTTCCACATATAGATAAAAGAACCCTGGCACAGTGCTAGAAGGTCGAGATGAGCAGGAGGGAGAGAGGAGACACGTGATGACTCATTTTAAAGATGCATAATATCCTGAATCTGGGGCAGAGAGAAGAAACAGCCTCATCCCTGATAACAGCGAACAGGGAAAGCCCGTCGTCATGCTGGGCTGCCTGTGTAAATAGGTTTAGTGTGTTTGAGAGTCTACAGAGACAAGCAGCACTCCATCAGAGTCTGCACAGTTTAAACACTGGTGAGGCAGATAATAACAATCAGCAGGCTTACTGCACTTACTGTGGGTAAGGCACTGTACACTGTGCTATGGCTGAATGTGTCCCCCCGAAATTCATAAGTAATGTCCTAACCCCCAGCATCTCAAATGTGACTATATTTAGAGATAGGGTCTTTAAAGAGATAATAATAATAATAAAATGAGGTGACTAGGGTGAGCTCTAATCCAATACGGCTGCTGTCCTTATAGCAAGAGGAATTTTAGACCCAGACAGGGGGAAGATCATGTGCAGAGATGGGGAGAAGACAGCCATCTACAAGCCAAGAAGGGAGGCCTCGAAAGAAACCAACCCTGTCGACACCTTGATCTTGGACTTACAGCCTCCAGAACTGTGGGAGAATACATTTCTGATGTCTAAGCCACCCAGTCTGTAGTACTTTGTTATGGCAGCCCCAAAAGACTAATATAACTTGTGATCCCATTAACTTTGAAGATACACCCTCCATTTTTATAGATTAGAAAACTGAAATCAGAGAGGATGAGTAAGTTGTCCAAGACAATAGCATTCATAAGTGGCAGAGCAAAGACAGGAAATCCACATCTGTCTGATTGCAAGACCCGTATTTTTACCAGTAAGTAATCTCTGTATTATAGGATTGCTCATTAAAACTTTTAGAAGATATAAAAAGAAGAAATCCAAGATGGTGGCATAAAGACCAATATCCAAGCAACATAAATGAAAGTTAAGATGTTATTAGAAAAAGGAAAATCATCTTAAAAGTCAAAGACACTAGAAATAAGGATTCAAAATCAGTGTTCTGGGATATGCAATCATTTTAAGGCTGCATGCTAAATTGGAAGATTTTATCTGGATGATGATAATTTATCTAGAAGCTGGCCAAAATAAAGAGTGAACACAGGAGTGAGTATCTGTATGGGTCAGTATTGAGTGCATCATTCTTTAAAATGTGCATTATTTTCAAAAATTTTCCTCTTTAAGCTTGTACAGTAATAACCTGACCATATGTTTTTGCTACATATATATATATAATTGTTACTAAGGGGTAAATAAGTTTATTGAAACATGCTGACTGTGAGTATATATTCCATGTATGGGTCTCTCTCTGGCCTCTGTTGTTAAGCCAAAGAGATGACTATTCTTCAGAAAGAGAAAAATCTCAGGATTGGAGAATATACTACAACAGGTCCTCCTTACCTGACACCTCCATTTTTTGTGTTTTCTCCATCTTCAGGGAAGAGGGAAGACAAAGAGTCCTTGAAGATTCCCTAGAACAAGGGCTCTTAATTTGGGGTTACTGGACCCTTAAGAAGTCCAAGGATAGGCTTCAGGGGTAGGCCACGAAGACTCTGGAGTTATGTGTACATTATTCTGTGTGTGTGAACATGTGCGGTTTTCTGGGGACAGGCTCCCTCCTCCAACAGACTCTCCAGTTGGGTGGTAACCCAAAAAGGGTTGGAGAACCAGTGCCTAGGCTTAGAAGATAAGGGGGTGAGGTGCAGCTGGGTGTATATAATGATCAAAACTCAGACCTGTGTTGACTTGCCATCAGTTAGTTTTGGGCAGGGTCATGAAGAGAGGTGGCAGAGTCCTGGCCTCAGTCCTGCTATGATGGTTTCAAAGGCATCAACACAGAAAATGAAGGTTTAGAAGACTCAGCTTGCCCTTGTCTACAAAGCTAGTCAAAGGCCTGTTCAACTAGTTACTCAAGCTGCTTGATCAGCAGATAACTAGATGGTCCCGTGTGCTTGTTCTCAAGCTAGGGCATACGTCTGCAGGAAAGGGGGACTGGGGAAATCAAATGAGGCCTTGCAGGAAAATGATGACAGCAGCACTAAAGGAAAGGGAGCAGCAGCCAGGGGAGAGGCACCAAGGGAAAAATCACCTTATAAAACATGCACCGAAAGTCAATCTCTTGGTTGTCTAACTCTTTCAACTTGTCATTAATACAAGAAACACAGAGGCAGCTGGAACGAAAAGTGAGTTTATGACTGCCTCCTTCCCCTGCACCTCCCCAGTGTTAGGATGGCCACTTGAGTACCTTGGCCTTCACACCCCTCCCCAGCTATTAGAGGCTACCAAGAAACCCAAATCTGCAAGTCCACATTTCACCATGGCCCTAGCCCTGGAGGGGTGTGTGTACAAATGTGCATGTGTGAGCTTGTGTAAGAGGGGCCCACAACAGCTGAAGGCCCGGAGGAGACTGGAGACTGTAACTGGGTCTCAATGTTTCCCTCTCCCCACCGTACTGGGTGAGGCATAAGAGCCCAAGAGCTTGAGAAAGGCAGACGGTTTGCTACCAGCTCCCAAGGTGGGACCAGGGAAGTACAAAGATGCAGCTGGGCTGGATGGGGTACAAAGCTGAAGCTCTTAGCTCAGTCTCATTCCCATGTCACTCACACCCTCACCCTCTCTGTACCATACAAATGGAAGAGACATCCATCAGTCAACAACTACTTATTAAGAGTCAGGGAAAGTGCTAGAGAACACTGAGTCCCAACTCCTCATTTGCAGGTTGGGAACTGAGAATGAAAGGTGAGACAACTTCGGCGAAGTGTCGCAGGAGGCGAGGGGCAGGACTGGGAAGCAGACCCTGGTTTGAATGTAAAGCTGGGGCTCTTTTCCACATGCCACACTGTCTCCACTTCCACTAACTACATAGCATTTTATGGATTGCCAGTGCCTTTCACAAGAAGGAGGGAGTATATAACTAAACAAGTGTGAGAAAGACAACAAAGAGATTCCAGAAGTCAGGTTTTATTCAATGAAACCCCAGGGCTAACAAAGTTCTGGTGAACTGCAGGCCGGGGAGGGTTAAAAGGTGATCCTCGGCCATGAACCTTTTGTGTTCAGTGGGGCTTCTCTCAACAGATCACTGTGGACCAGCAGAAGGGCAAGTGAAGCACGTGAGCTGTTCTCCCCCTGTGGTAAAATAATTGGAGAGAAATCTGTGCATAATTCCGGGCTAATGGAATCCTGAGCAGTCAGCAGCTTTGGGGATTATGAGGAACCAACTGATCTGATAGCAATTTGGGGGCTGGCTTGTTTTTCAGTTTAGTGAACACTGTGAAATAAAACTAAATGAAGAATAGACAGCTGGTGTGGATTTGAGCTAGGCATGGAACCTACTTTGTGTTTTTCTACAAATTCAGTTTAAATTGTAAATGACTATCCGCCTTGTGCATTGCCACAGGCCTGAGGCATTAGAAATAACTGAATCACAAAACTACAGAGCTCACAGCTAAACAAGACCTCAAAAGGTCCAGGATGGAGCCTTCAGGCTAGTAAAAATTGATTATTTACATTTTACGTCTAAAGCATCTCAGAAATGTTACGTATCCAGCCTAAGCCTAAAGTCACACAACTAAAAATGACAGAGGGAAGGGGGGAGGAAGGGGCAAGTTCCCCCCCCCCCCC